TAGATGACCAACTGGTTGAACATTAAATGGCATTTAATTTGATTCTCATATATGTAAGATATTTAATAATTTAAAAAAATGTTTTCATCTTGCAATGATACGAAAATATTTATTTTCTTGGTTTTGTTAATTTTATTGGGGGTTGTGGCTTAGTGAAGGTGTAGGAAAATTGATGCTTTCCAAGTGCAATGGGTCATGATGTTTTGATTTTACTCTGCTGTGTTCTGTTTTAGTTTGTGTAAAAGACGATGATGACAAGGAAAAACAAGGCTGGCCCTCAAAGTCCTAGGGCACATATATATGTAGTGAATAGCTGGCTGTGAGCTTTTGAAGGCATGGATTGTCCCTGTCCCTGTTTTTCTATCTCCTGCACCTAGCATAGGCCTGGCATGTGGCGCTCAATACGTGCTTGCAAATTAATGAAGACCAAACTGTTGTAATTGAGTTTATGTAGGAGTCAATAATGGAGCCAATTTCCATCCTCAACCTCCACTGAGTATTGAATTAAAAAGAGTTTGTGGTTCCTGATGTTACATTTTTTCTGGCCTGGGTGTCACAAATCCAGTCAATGAGTTGAGTTATTCATTTCAAGAAAAGAAATCTAGATAAATTTAAATAAATGTTAAGACAAATGTTAGATAAATACTTATCTAATTTCTTTGGAATTGTAATCCAATCACATATCATCATCCTGACAATGTTTTGTAAAAATATAACTATACACATGTAAATGTGCTATGTCTGTGCTATGATTTGATTGCATTCAATGGAGGACTTCATGTCAACCAGGCCTCCCACAATCTATTTGTAGTAACAGGCAACTCAGGAGTTCTTACTGGTATCCTCTACCACATTGCATGACCTTGGGGAGGTTCCTTAGTCTATTTTTGGTTCAGTTTTCTTATATATGGACTGGGAATAATTACTTTATGTTTTCTTCAAAAAAATTTTTTTAAATGTTTGTTTATTTTTAAGAAAGAGAGACACAGAGCATGGGTGGGGGAGGGGCAGAGAGAGGGCGACACAGAATCCCAAGCAGGCTCCAAGCTCTCAGCTGTCAGCACAGAGCCCGACGTGTGAGCTCGAACCCACGAACTGTGAGATCATGACCTGAGCCGAAGTTGGATGCTCAACTAACTGAGCCACCCAGGTGCCCCTGTAATGTTTTCTGTTAGAAAATGATATTGAAAGATTCTCAGCTAAAACTGTTTCTAACTTAAACATTGCAATTGCTGATGCTGTAGAGTACATGATAGAATCAGAATTGACAAATTTATAATATTATTTTCTTTAAAATATTTCTTCTGCATTTTGCTTAAGGTTTATACAAAATGTATCATAAAAACAGATTTCTATTTTTATTTTTACTTTCGCTAAAGGAGAAGTGCTTGAGTTACAGATTTCTAAATTTATCATAATAAAGTAGCATTAGAATAGAATAGATTCTATTCTAATTCTATTCTAAAAAAAAAAAAAAGAATAGAATAGATTCTAATATCTAACAATTCTGATTACTAGTTCTGAGGCTCGGCCAAGTTACTTCAGACTCCTTCATCTGAACAACAAAAATAACATGCTTTACCTACTAGAGTTGATGTAAGTGTTTTTTTAAAAAAAAAGGTAATGGGGGAAAGGAGGAGAAAAGATTATGTCATATATCTAGTCTTCAAAAAAGATTAGTTATATGACTGCTTCCTAAACAAATGCTGCTAAGAGAGTGAAAGTCCTGGGTTTGAACCGAAAATTTCCATTTTTTATTTTCCACTTAAAATAATGCACATTATTAAGACATTGATACACAGTTTCATAAAATTAGGGAATGTGTTCTTATATAAAAGCTTAAAATATTCACCTATTCAAATGAAAGTATCTTCTCCTAGTTGTAAAAATAAACATTTAAAATATAATTCCAGAGCCAATTATGGAAGATTTTTTCAAGTTGTTATAAAGGCAGCTAATCTTTTTAATTAGCAAAGGAATGAGGGTAGGGAACATGTCTATTTTGTGCACTACTATGTGTCTAGAAGCCAACAGAGTGCCTGGCCATAGTAGGTGGTCAATAAATATTTGTAGAATATTCATAGAGAGTGTACAGATTTTTGAATCAGAGAAATTTGGTTTGAAGCATGGCTATATGGTAGAATAATAGTAATATCTATCTCCAGAGATTGTTAAAAAGATTGGAAGAGGTAACATATGAAAAGTGTCTGGCATGTGTATTAACATATGTTTTCCTTCGTGTTGTTCATACTTTTGCTGATTTCATAATATTACATGTTAAGATCAAATAGTATTCCAAATGGCCAGACTAATGAACCACCACATGTATTCTACTTATATATAAAGAGACCATGCATGTAGTAAAATTCTATTCAGTAAATCTTTGGCTGATATCCCATCAGAGCAGCCAAACTGTTCAGGAAAAGTAATTCCTGCTTCAAGGCTTTAAAAAAAAAATCTGCATTACTTGTTCAGTTTTTCTGCATGTGGCTTTCGGTTGCCTTTTTAGCTAGTGACCCAGGGTTTTAACTAATGAACTCCAGCTGTTCTTATTTTGCCTTCCATCCCTTCTCATTTAACCTCCTGTCTCCCTGGTCTCACATCCTTAAAGTTCTTACAGGAAAAATGGGACAGTGCCAAAGTTTCCAAATGAGGCCTCATCCCTTCTTGAGGGGAGAGGGCCTCTTTAATAAGGGCTTCTAGCTTTCTCAATGATGGAAAAAGAAACATTCATTGTTGGAAAATGGATGCCTAACAACCTCCAATGTGTCAAAAATCCTCTTGTGGTTTTTAATATTATACAAGCAAAGCGTTCAGTAAGGTAAGTCCATAAAACAAACCAAGAAAGTCCACAGCTGAATACTAAATGTAATTGCAAACACCTGTGAAGGGGAGGCAATTTCTTAGTAAATATGCAATAAAAGAAACATCTACCATACAGAACAATACAGATCCAGCTTTTCTGAACCATGCTGAGAACCATCTGTTAGCAAAACTGGCAAAATTTTTCATTGTTAAGTCAAATGTCAACCTGAAAAACTTGGCTGTGGGCAAAATCTGAGCAAGGCAGTCCTGAAGTAATAGGCAAGCTCAAACGCACAAAGACAACACCATGAAAATGCGGTGAAGCTGGGCCAGAGGCTCTCCCATTATATTGGTGACCTGGGGATTTCTATTATGTTCAGAAATACTATTCAACCTATCCACACAACTCCTTCTAAATCTGATCATACTTTCATGGGGACCACTAATAAGTACATTAGTAAATACAGCTTCCATTATATTAAACACTTAAAACCACACTTTCCTCCAGAATGCACCTGATCCTACCAGGATGAATTCCCGGCTACCCTGACGGCCATTTGGCCCCTATACTCAAATTCAAAACGACATATTTCCCAGGGGCTCTAAAAGACTTTTGAAAATGGCATCAAATTCAGTTATAAACTCATTTTGTAAATTGCTTTTTCCATGCCTGTTTGCATAACCCATCCTTCCAAGCTCAGTTCAAAATCTACTGACTCCATTAGCCACACTGAGACTAACTGGTTCTCATATTAGTTTATGTCTCTTTTTAACCTCCATTATAACACTTGTAACCTGAATCATCTGCTCTGTTAAGACTGAAAATGACAGAGAGCAAAAATCAGGGCTTTTTCTTCTCATCCTTCATAATGCCCAGCAATATGGTGGGCATATAAGTATGTGTTCCATAAAGAAGGGAAAATAGTTAACAGGGGAGAAAGTAAAAGAGAAGAGACATTTCTTTTCTTCTTCTTCTTCTTCTTCTTCTTCTTCTTCTTCTTCTTCTTCATCGTCATCTTTTTTTTTTTTTTTTTTTCTGAAATTGATAGCAATCCTATCATCATTAGATTTCAAAGGGCTCATGTAGGGGCGCCTGGGTAGCTCAATCAGTTGAGTCCAACCTGAGCTCATGTCATGATCTCCTGCTTTATGGCTTTGAGCCCCACGTCAGGATCAGTGCTGACAGCTGAGAGCCTGAAGCCTGCTTCGGAGTCTGTGTGTCTCTCTCTCTCTGCCCCTCCCCTGCTCATGCTCTGTCTCTCTCTGTCTCAAAAATAAATAAAAACATTAAAAAAGAATAAATCATAAAATGATAGTATAAATATGCTCCAAAAACTATAATGAAGAATACGGTTGCAATTATTATTATTTTTTAATTTAAATTCAAGCTAGTTAACATACAGCGTAGTACTGGTTTCAGGAGTAGAATCCAGTGATTCATCACTTATATAAGTGCTCATCCCAACAAGTGCCCTCCTTAATGCCCATCACCCACTTAGCCCATCCCCCCCCAGTGCCCCTCCAATAATCCTCAGTTTTTTTTTCTGTATTTAAGAGTCTCTCATGGTTTGCCTCCCTCTCTTTTTAACTTATTTTTCCTTCTCTTCCCCTATGTTCATCTGTTGTGTTTCTTAAATTTCACATTTGAGTGAAATCATGATATTTATCTTTCTCTGACTGACTTACTTCACCTAGCATTAATACACTCTAGCTCCAACCATGTTGTTGCAAATGGCAAGATTGCATTCTTTTTGAATGTTGAGTAATATTCCATTGTGTGTAGATATATATCTGTATCTGTATCTATATCTACACACATTCCATTGTGTATGTATATATCTACACACATACCTACCACTTTATCCACTCTTTATCCACTCATCCGTTGATGGACATTTGGACTCTTTCCATAATTTGGTTATTGTGGATGGCACTGCTATAAACTTTGGGGTGCATGTGCCCCTTCAAATCAACATTTTTGTATCCTTTGGATAAGTACCTAGTAGTGTAATTGCTGGGTCATAGGATAGTTCTATTTTTAATTTTTTGAGGAACTTCCATACTATTCTCCAGTTGTGATTATAATATTACTTCTAGAAATATCAAAAGCTAGATGCTGAATGGATAGATTCAATGGATTTTTTTTTTTTTCTTACCAAATCAAGGACCTGTAAGATAGATCTCTTGGATCTTACCTTCCCGAATAGCTGTAAATGGGACTCCTTCCTCTTCATTCATGCTAATGACTTTTAGAGCCACTAGTTGTCCATTTATCCTGGAAGAGTTGGGGGTGGGGAGAGGGATGGGGAGGACACACATTTATTGAGATGGTTCATAGCAGCAGTTTATACTAAGGATAGTTTAATGAAAGTAGCTTTTCCTTCCAAATATATTCCAGCATATGAATCCACAATTTTCTAAAAATAGGCAGTTTTAAAAGTCATATGTATGTATACCAAAATAGTTTTTTTTCCTCTTTACTCATTGTAGAAACTTTGGAGAACACAGAAAGGCACTAAACCCATCCTCATAATACTTTGATGTATATCGTTCCTTCCATTTCCTTTTCTGCACTTACTTGGACCATCCTTATTTTTCATCTGAATTATTGTAGTGGCCACCTAACAGTTTCCCTACTTGTACATTTGTACCCCTACTGTCTCAATAGAGCAGCCCAGGGGATCCTTTTTAAGGGAATTTCAGAATAAATCACTTTTCTGCTCAAAACCTACCATTATTGTCACATTTCACTCTGTTAAAATTTTTTCTTATGTATTTATTTATTTTGATAGAGAGAGAGAGAGAGAGAGAGAGAGTGTGTGTGTGTGTGTGTGTGTGTGTGTGTCTGTGTGTCTGTGTGCGCACGCAAGCAGGGGAGGGGCAGAGGGAAGGAGAGACAGAATCCCAAGCAGGCTCTGCACCATCAGCACAGAGCCCGATGGGGGGAGGGGGAGGGGGGTTGCTGGAACCCACAAACTGTGAGATCATGACCTGAGCCAAGATCAAAAGTTGGATGCTTAACTGACTGAGCCACCCAGGTGCCCTGGTCACATTTCAATCTGAATAAAAGCCAAATTCTTACAACTACCTTCTAGGTGCCACCTGACCTGCCCAGGCCCACCATTACCTCTTTCTCTAACCTCCTCTTGCTCTCCCCTTATTCAGTGTTTTGTTCACGGATGTAAGTGAGGTGACAGAGAACTGAGATTTTAATACATGTATAAATACGCGATTTTCAATACAGCGGGATTCATGTCATGTTATCAGTAACTTGCTTTTCTGCCATTTTTCTTTTATTCATTCTTTACAGTATAGGATGATATTTAATTAAATATTTAATAATGGTATAATATTTTATCATATAAATACACTACAGTGTGTTTATGCTTGGCCGGCTCCAAATGCTTTTAAAATGTTTCTTTTGACTATTATAAAAATACAGTCATGATCATGTCTGTATCAGTCTTTTCACACAGCCCCTATTCTTTTCTTAGGGTTGAGTTGGAATTGCTAAGTCAGAGTATGCTGTGCACAAGTTTTTATTGTTTTGAATGCATGTTCCCAAATTATGCCACAGAGTGATTACACCACTCACTGGTCATGAGAATGGCCATCCCAGCACTTTCTTGCCAACACTGGGCAGAGTTTTTATTTTGTTTTGTTTTTTCATTTTTTAGAACAGATTTAGATTTACAGAAAAATTGAGAAGATAGTACAGAGAGTTCTCACATACTCCACATCCAGTTTCTTCCACTGTGTAATTAATGAACCAATATTGATACACTATTATTAACTAACGCTTATAGTTTATTAACTAACGCTTATGGTTACTGTGAGATCATGACCTGAGCCGAAATCAAGAGTCAGCTGCTTTATTGACTGAGCCACCCAGGTGCCTCATAATAGAACAAAATAGAAATAGCTGAAATGTCCAACATTAGAAGAACAATTTAAAAATGTGTGGTACATCAACACAACGGAATATTTTGAATTCATGACAAAAACTCAAGTCCAGAGACATGTAGAAAGTGGAAAATATTCATGATAAAATAAATAGAATACAAAATAGCAAGCACACCATGTTTGTAACTTTAAATAAACCATGTGCAAGTAGAAGACAAATTGTGCATGTGCAATTGTTATGCTAGAGTGATGGATTATAGATCATTTTTCAAAGTTATTTATTTATTTTGAGAGAGACAGAGCAAGCAGGAAAGGGGCAGAGAGAGAAGTAGAATCCCAAGCTGACAGCATGGAGCCTGACACTGTGAGATCATGACCTGAGCCAAAATCAAGAGTCTGCTGCTTAATTGACTGAGCCACCCAGGTGCCTCATAGATGATTTTTAAGTTTATTTTATTTTAATTTTTCAGAGAGAGAGTGAGAGAGGAGATACAACGTGAGCAGGGGAGAGGCACAGAGGGAGAGAAAGAGAACCTTAAGCAGGCTCCATGCTCAATGCAGAACCCCATGAGGGCTTAATCCCAGGACCCTTGGATCATGACCTGAGCTGGAATCAAGAGTGAGACGCTTAACCGATTGAGTCACCCAGGCACCCTGATGATTTTTAAGTTTTAAAAATTTACTTGCTGTTACATATTGCCTTTTTAAAAAATAACATTTACAAGTTTATTATGGTTTTCCAACTTGATTTCAAAATGCATTCTTTTTATCTTTTTTAAAGTAGATATGGTAGATATGTAAAAATTTATGAAATCAATAAATTTATCTATCTTAGTCTTTTTGAACTTGAGACATAATCAACGTACAGAATTTGTAGGTTAAATCTGTACAATGTCTGATACATTTACATATTGCAGTATGATTATCAGGATTTCTTTAGTTGTTTTTTGTTTTTTTTTTTTTAGTTTATTTATTTATTTTGGGTGAGGGGAAGGGCAGAGAGAGGGGGAGAGAGAATCCCAAGCAGGCTCTGGGCTGTCAGTGCACAGCCTACACGGGGCTCGACCTCCCAAACCGTGTGACAATCACCTGAGCTGAGTTGGACGCTCAGTCGACTGAGCTACACAGGCGCCCCCAGGATTTCCTTAGTTTTTACCTAATGTCCTTTCTCTGTTAGCATACCGCATTATGTATAGTCGTCATGTCTCCTTAGGCTCCTCTTGGCTGTGATAGATTCCTAGACTTGATGACCATGACAGTTTTGAGGAGTACTGGTGAAAAATTTTGTAGCATACCTCTCTATTGCAGTATTTCTGATTTTTTTTTTTTTTTTGATGATTAGACGGGGGATATGGATTTTGAGAAGGTAAAGTGCCATTTTCATCCCATCATATTAAGGATACATACTATTGTCAGAATTTATAACTTTATATTGGCCTTAATCACCAGGCTGAGATAGTATCTGTCAGGTTTCTTCACTGTAGTTCTTTCCCCCCCAACTCCCTTTCCACAGTGTACTTTTGGAAGAATGTCACTATGAGTAGGTCACACTTAAGGAGTGGGGATTTATGCTTCAACTCCTTGAGGGTGGGTTATTTACATAAATTATTTGGAATTCTTCTGCACAGGAAAATTGTCTCTTCTCTCCCATTTATTAATTTATTGAGCCATTTATTTATATCAGTGTAGACTCATAGATATTTATTTTACACTTTGGGTCATAATCCAATATTAGTTTATTTTGTTGCTCAAATATTCCAGATTTGTCCTTTGGGAGCTCTTTCAGTTGGTTCCTGTGTCCCTTTGACATACCTTCATAAATGTGGGGTTTGTTTTTTGGTGTCATACTTTTATCTTCATTTGTTTTTTGCCTATTTAATTTGCCTAAAAAGGATTATCATATTTTGATTTCTATTTCTTTAACTACTTGTGGACCTGAATTTTCTTAAGTTTATTGGTCTTTTCTGTTCTTTTGTGATTTGCTAATTTGCATTGGATATTGAAATATTTTGCATATCTTTTTAATTGAAATATTTTGCATATACTTTTCACCAATTTCTTTTGTCTATTTGAACATGTTTTTGAAATTTGGAACTTTAAAATTTTTATGAAGTTCAATATTTTCCAAAATGTTTTTTTTACTCAGAGCATACCTCTGTGAAATTCTCTCCACCCCCCAAAACAGTATTTTGGTCACATATGTTTAGAAAATGCTTTACACTTTAAAATTTTTCTTGGGGCACTTGGGTGGCTCTGTCAGTTAAGCATCAGGTCATGATCTCACGTTTTGTGAGTTAGAGCCCTGCATTAGGCTCTCTGCTGACCGCTCAGAGCCTGGAGCCTGTTTCAGATTCTGTGTTTCTCTCTCTCTTTCTGCCCCTCCACTACTCTCTCTCTCAAAGATGAATAAACATTACAAAAGTTTTTTTTTTCAATTTTCTTAATCTTTCTTAGATAGTCATGGTATACATTAACATTTTAAAGATGCTGAGAGCATCTATAATAAGGAATCACATTTTTTACTTTGTTTTAGGGTTCCCTGCAACAATTTGGCAATAGTAACTTTCAATGAAATATCCTAAGGTCTCTCAGAACGAGGGCTCCCTAGAACATACATGGGTAGATGGGGCACCATGGACACTTAAGGGTTCCGACTTCAGTGTTTTGAAGAGACAGACCTTTCTAGCCCAAAGGTGACACAGAATTCCTCTGCCTATTCTTCCAGCTCTTATCTCTTCTTTTTCATTTAGCTCTTTAATCTACTAGGAATTCATATTATATATTTACTTATTCCAAGTTGCTAACTATCATCCCAGCTTCGTTTATTGGACTGTCTTCTATTCCCCACTGATTTGATAGTGATTTGATGTATATACCATGATTATATATTAGATCTTACTAATACTTAGGTTTGTGACTGTTCTGGACTTAAAAAAATCATATTTCTTTGATCTGCCTTTTCTTATACTATACTATTTTAATTATTGTGGGTTTTGAACATATTTAGAATATATTAAAACTTGATGGGTGCCTGGGTGGATCAGTCGGTTGAGTATCTGTCTCTTGATTTTGGCTCAGGTCATGAGATAGAGCCAGGTTCTAGCTGGCTCAGGTTCATGGGGGGAGCCCCTGCCTTGGGCTCTATGCTGACAGTATGGAGCCTGCTTGGAATTTTCTCTCCCTCCCTTCCACTGCCCCTCCCCTGCTTCCCATGCTTGTGTGCACTCTCTCTCTCTGTTCCTCAAAATAAATAAATAAACTTAAAAAAATAACATATATTAAAACTTGAAAGAATCACTGACATCTTTGCACTATTAGATTTTCTAATTCAAATATTCTGTACGTCAATAATCTCTGGAATAATCCATAATACCTTATACACCCGGTCTACTGCAACTGCAGCTCTTCCCTGTCCACATGTCTTTCCACTCTCCCCTCCAATGCTTGGCCTACTCCTGCCTCAGGGATTTGTTGCTTGCTGTTCCCTCTGCATGAGGCTGTCTTCCACTATACACGCACATGGCTCCTGCCTCACCTTTGTCAGAGTCTGTGTTCAAGTGTTCCCTTCTCATCTCTCTATTTAGAATAGTCATCCACCACCCTACTCTGGGGCTCCCCATCCCTCTCCACTGCTTTATTCTTTTCCAAAGCACTTTTCACTCTTCGATAAACTCAGTCTTTCATTAATTTGTTTATTGCCTATCTTACCGTGACTAGTATGTACACTCCATACGAGCACAGAATTTTGTCACCTTTGTTCTCCAATGAATCTTTATTGTCTAAAAGAGTGTGTGGCACAGAGTAGGTGCTTAATAAATACTAGTAGAATGAATGAGTGCCTGTCTGACTCTTTCTCAAGTCTTTATGTCCCTCAGTTACCCTCGCCCATTTTTTGACAGTAATGATTTTTGTTGTTGATGTTGTGAGAGTAACTTCCCTTACTGAACTTTCTAGTAACTGGTTATTGTTAATACACAAGACAACTTTTGATAAGTGTATTTTGATTTTGTAACTGATCACCTTATTCTGTCATACTGCTGCTACTGGTTCCTTAGATTATTGCCTTGGGTTTTTTAGGTAGACAATTCTGTAGTCCACAAAAATGATAGTCAGGGGTTTTCTTTGGTCATTGCATTGGCTAGAATATTTGCTATAATCTTTAACAGTGAAGGATAATGAGAATTCTTGTCCTATCTCTAAATCAATGGAGGTGTCTCTAGTATTTAAGAAAGAAGGTATGTGGATTGTTGATTTGAAATACTCTACATCATAATGAGGAATTATCATGCTATTCCTATCTTGTTCAGAGTTTTAAAAAGTAGTAATTGGTGTTGAATTTATTTGGCATCCATCTCTGTGATATTTTTTTACTTATTTTAAAATCATAAATGTAATGTCTTTGCGGTAAGGAATAAAGTGAAAAGTCTGAGTAATCTTTCTTTGCCCACCACAGTTTTAGCCACTAGAAGTAACTACATTTCACAATCTCTTATGCATTTTTCCAGACTCCTCGATGCACACATAAATTTATACACGCATAGTACACCTGAGTACTTTTTTTCTAAATGAGCATATAGGATACATATTGTTCTGTAACTTGCTTTTGTTTTTTAAAATATCGGACATCTCCTTGTATTGGTACATCTCCTTCATACTTTAGATGACTGCACACCACTTCACTGCATGGTGATTATTTAGCTAGTACTCCATGAATGGGCATTTGTGACCAGGTTTTTACTCTGATTTTTTTTACTTTTTCTATTGTAAATCTTGCTGCAATGAATGTACTTGTATGTATATCTCTATGCACTTAAACGAGTATTTCTAATGTATTTTTTTAAGTTTATTTATTTTGAGACAGAGAGAGAGTGAGCCAGGGAGAGGTAGAGAGAGGGAGAGAGAGAATCCCAAGCAGGCTCCATGCTGTCAGCTCAGAGCCCAATGCAGGGCTCGATCTCACAAACTGCAAGATCATGACCTGAGCTGAAATCAAGAGTTGGATGTTTAACCAACTGTGCCAATTAGGTGCCCCTCTGATGTATTTTTGAAACTATTACTCAGTTGACTCCCTTGAAGGAAACATTTTATATTCTTAGTTCCTAAGATAGTCTATGGAATTGTATTAAATAATGTATATAAAATGATTTTTGCCTAAAATCCTGTTTTAACATTAAAAACTAATAATGTGATTACTAGGATAAATAATAACTAGTCTTACAATATTTATATTACATTTTTAAAATTAACATTTAACCACTATTGAGCTATTATTTTCTCCATTGGAACATAAATTAAAGAAAGCAGACCTTCTGACTTTCTCGTCTTTGCTAAAAACCAATGAAGTTCATGGATCTTTCACATATGTTCAATAAACTTCATTAGCCAAAATGGGCACTTGGCTTCTGGATTAGCATTATTTTTTTTTCTCCAACCATTTTATATATTTTACAAGTATACAAACCCAAATACTAATAATTTTTTGCATGTATCATGCTTTGTAGAAACCAAGTGCAGCTTCTTCTATGAAGGTAAGAGGAAGAATGAAGGAACAAATTCAACGTTGCAAACTCTGTCTTCGTATTTTAGGGAGAGACGTGAAAAACCCTTTAGAGACACCTTACCAGCTGCACTTGCGAAGAGCAGTAATTGTTCTTTGGGTCAGCAGTAGAAAAATTCTACTTTAAATTGAATAAAAGAGAGAAAAGTTGATAAACGTCTTAGTGAACTGATTTTGATTAGGGCAAGAGAAGTTTGTTTTCCTTGCCAGACTATTTAAATCATCATGTCTCTCCCTGTTGACTATGGTGTCTTACAGTGGTCCTGAACTTCTGTCATGTGTTACCTGGCTCTATAATTTCAAATCAAAGGGGTGGGATCCTCATCTCTAGAGTCTCTCCCAGCTATGAGTTACTCACCTGCTAATCCCCTTGTAAACTGTGGCATAAGAACCTTCACCCAGTTTCTCCAAGTTCAAGTAAGATGAGGCTGCCCCAAAAGGGAGGTTCTTCCTCTGCTTAAGGGGAATGGGGAGGGGAGAGAGGTGGGAAGGAAAGAAAGAACACATATTTTAGGGTTGACATTTTTCCCAGAGAAATTAGCATTGCCCAAGTATACTTGGGGCCCTCTCAGTACCTGCCCTACAAGTAAAGGCCAGCCTCCTAGACAAGTATGTATTAAATCATTCTACTTCAACATCAGCTGTTCACTCACCCACTGAAAACCCTGCCTCAGATCCTCTTTCTGAAAAGAATCACTGTTACTCCGTGGCCTTTTACTCTTGTACTTCCGGGCACGGACCGCCTGAAGTCCCCTGGGGTGAAATGAAGTCATGGAACATGACGCTTCTTTTAGGTCTGTTAGCTAGAGAAAAAAGACAGTACAGGAATAAAATGTACGCAAAGTCAAGACTCAGTGGCTGGCATAAAGCATTTTTTCTCCACTTATCTGATTGTTACTCTTCAGATGTTTTCTAAGCCTCCTACATCCCAAAAAGCAAATCCTTTCCCGAAAGTCAGATCCTTAAAAAAGACCATAATGATATCACCTGCTAAAACTCTACATTGTTTCTTCACTTAAAAATATTTCTTTAGCACTTAGGTTAACCTAAATCTCTCTGATGGATGGTTTCCAATTTTTCTCTGTTTGGTTCAGTCTTTTCATGTTCTTTTAATTTATCTCTTTTGGGGAATAATTTTCTAGTATGTCATTGCTAATAATCATAAGCTAATCATTGTGATTTTGAATCCATAGCATACCAATACTGCAGCTTGCTTTCTGGGGCTCAGCTGTGTAACTTAGTACTTCAGATATTCCAAGAGAATAACTACTTTCTCAACTTCAAGTCACTGAATTTCGTGTAGCCCAAAGCATAGGATTATTTTTCCCTTTCGCTTTACAAGAACATCCCCAAACTTGATAGCAACAGCCATAAATTCTCAGTGACTTTAATATAATTTTCTTTTTATTGTTTTTGACCCACCGCAGAGAAATCAGACCCTGCTCCAGAAAGGGAGTCTCTGAGCTCCCTAGTTTATCAACAGAGGAAGATTCTCCGTCCGGGTTACAAATACCTCGATCACAGCCTCCGCCGGCACAGGCGCACTCCTCTGACAGCTGTGTGCATCGCCTCCCTCCCAACAGCGATGGCAGCTGCATCCAGGCTGGAGAGTCTTTGTACACAGCTCTTGACCCATAATCTTCTAGGTTCAAGGAGAAAACCCGCACTTGAACCTCTTCCCCTCTGCTTCTCCTGTCCTCGTTCGCTCCCTTTTTGCCAGAGGTCAGCAATGCTGGAGCTTTCATATGACTCACATGAGGGCTCTGAGCGGAGCAGCCTCATGACTTCAGCAGTTTTCCTTATCAGCGCAAGAAACTACATCGAAAAGGTGGCCGCCTGCATTCTTACGTGCACAACCGAAAACAGGACATCTAATATTGCATAGAATCAATCTTGGCACAGAGTTCTTATTCCAGGCATAAAAGTGCTGTTAGTATATATAGCTTTTATGAATTTACATTGCTTATCCATGTAAATGATAATGATATTGATTAGGCTTCCCTGGTGCTAAAGTGGACATGTTGAGGAGTATTTTCTCCCTGCCTTTCATCTGAAAGCGTTTTGCTTCTCAGACTTTAAAATAAATTTGCAACCTAGCCAGCTTTTAGTAGTGAAAGAAACCACAGAATCATAGAACAAGAAAATAGTTCCCTGTCTCTTTGCCTCCAAGCAATAGTATATAATATTTAATAGCTCCAGAGCGGTAGTCATCCATTCACTGATTCAAAAATGATCTAGTAAGCACCTGTGTTGTTTTTACTATACAGATAGTGATATTATCCAATGGTGGGGAGAGAGGAGTTTGCATAAAATATCTCCTTCTCTTTCTCTCTTCTTCCCACTCCTTCCCCTACCCCTTCCTGCCACATAAATGTAATTAATGTTTACCATATTAATAGCATGACATGTCAAGGAAATAGCTTGAGTTAACTTTGTAGTGTTTGAACAGAACTTTTTCTCTCATAGACTCCTAATGTTATTGCCACTATAATGTACTAATCAGAATGAGACAGAATGTAGGATACACACACACACACACACACACGCACACACACGTACAATCAGTATCATTAAGGGGTGAAAAATGAGTCATGTCTATTACCACAGCAATATTTATAAATATTTGATACCTGAACCTCAACAGTTAAAAGAAAGTTTCAGAGAATTTAATTATGAACATTACGAACATATTTAATTGAATATGAACATTTCATTATGAATTATGAAATTTGAAGTTTTATTTCAAAATTTCCATAAGAGAAGAGATGTAAAATAGGCCAGTTTAAAGATTCACTCAAATTAGAGACATTTAGTAAAAAAAAAAAAAAAAAAAAAAAAA